GCACATTTTAAAAGTGGTCTCCAAAAGATGGCTGTCTGGGAACGATCCTCCTCCTCTGCTTCCCCCGCCCACCTCCCCTGCTAAAGCCTAGGAGGTCCTGACCTAGCTGGGGGGCGAGCTGCCATAAGAAAGCCTGTTGGGGATTCGTGTGGGATGCAGGCAGCCGGCAAGCAAAGACCCCGCTAGCTGAGGGTAGGGAATCCCGTAGCTAAGGTGCCTTTCCGATGTTTGTAGGTTTTCCTAAAAATTGACTCCCTAAATCAATCCAGTGATATTACCTCTTAGATTTTTGTTTTAAACCCTTTTAAAAATGTTGTCAGGGAGTGTTTACAGATTGTCAGTTGGTCCTCCAGGTCTTAGATGTGTAGCTGTGTTGGTCTGTAACTTAAAAAAATGTAAAAAACAAGGAGCGGTCAGGGAGCACCTTACAGACTAACAAAAATGATACTATATACATTGAGCTTTTGTGGGCACAACCCACTTCTTCAGATGACTGGAGCAAGAGGCCCTCCAGGTGTCATTTAAACAATACTATTCACATTTATTTGGTTTCATCATTGGTGGTTAATTGTCTGCCTTTCCTTTATTTAAGCACACACTTGTTTTATAAAAGTTGTGTTAATTGACCATATCAAACCACAGTGACTTCTCAGCATGGCAGACTCATACAGTTCTTAGCTACTCATACTGCAGCTACTGTATGAGTACTGTTAGGCCAGCTAACACTAAGAGACCATGCTTCAGTTACACAGTTGAGTGTGCATGTCTATCAGGCATGTTATTTTACCCACAACAATGAAGAATCTCAAAAATAGATTTCTTATTCCCTCTGATAAGTTACTTAAAGAATAGTTGATAAAGTAAGTTTAAAAGCCTTTTCCTAAATACATTTGCAGCAAGTCAGTGTCCCTTTTCTGCGCTTGTATAACTCCCTCTGAAAACTGGCAGTAATAAGTGAGTCAATACTAACCTAGATTTGAGCTTCTGATTTAGAAGTGAAAGTTCCATATCCCGTTTCCATTCTTCTGTGCTGTCCCATTCCATTGTCCGAGAGATGCTGTTTCTGATGAAGTTCTTTCAATGAATATTCTGTACAGAACTTTCTGTTCCCACCCATAAAAGAAGTTTGTTTAATTTGCTTCAAATAACATGAACTTTGTCATTGATTAGTTGTTAGGTAGAATATTTGAATCTTCTGGATGTACTTGGCGACAGTAAGTAGTTTTATATTTTTCAACTAACATAGATTCATGGAACAAAAACCATCATAATCATGTTGTCTTAGACCCTGATCCTTCAAACATTTATACATGTATAGCTTTATACTCAAGAGCAGTCTCACTGAAGTTGGTGCAACTGCCCGCAAGTTTTATATATGTATATGTGTATTTGTGTGTGGGATCAGGCTCTCAGATATGAGTGAGGAGTTGGGAGGGGAGGGACTTGATGAGACATAAATACATGAGAAAATACAAAGCAAAACTTACTTTCCGTTCAGTCCAGATATTAGTAATATAGTTCTGTGAACCTGATCTTTCTCTTATGTACATTATGCAGTGTTTATTGCCAAATGTGTTCCATCTTTCAGAGGAGATATTTGGGATACACAATGTAATGTATTGTGAAAAGAGGAAAATCATGAATCCCTTTCCTTTCTAGTAGCTTGATAGCTTATAATGCTTAGATATTAAAAAAATTGCCCTGATCTGGATTAACCTCCTGCATGCCTCTCCCTTCCCGTGTTTTTTGCAAGGACTGTCACTCCAGAGAGATACCTGAATTTGTCATCTTGCTAAATCCATTGGATAAAATCTTGTACATTGGTCTAGGAATATCTGCCAAGAAAAAAGGAAAGATGAACTCTTTGCTGTTGCAAAAGCTCCCAAAAATTGGCCTTATGTTTACTTTTTACATAATATGCTTCAACTTTTAATATTAAAACATCACTATCAGAGGAGATTAGTGTTCTCCTCAAAACAGCACTGGTATGTTTTATAAGGAATTTAAGTAAACCAACCTAAATTATTATAAAACTACTATTGCTTTTACTGTTACTATAAATGGCAAAGATTTTAAGTTGAAAGTTGTCCACTAATTTATCTTGTAAAAAGTGAAATATTTTTTTCTCCAATATCTCAAAGGTGTATGACACTTTTCTCTTAATTAGCTGTGGTGTCTCACTCTTGAACAGATTACAGTTTAAACAGGTCATGTATTGGTTTTTATTCTGTCACCCTGACTTAAATCAGTGGTAGTATTTGTGGAGTCAAGTAGTACTCAATGTGAGTAAAAGTAGGCAGACGTGGGGCCTTGGAAATTTAAATTGGCATTGATAATCAAGCAGGCATATTACATCAATAAGGCAGATGTTTTCGAATATTTATTAACTTCAGTATGATTTTTGTGCCATTGAAAATAGAAGGAAATGTTCTCACTGAGAATTGCTATTGCTGAATCTCCTTCAGTGGTGCAAAGACATTATAAACAGCTTTTCATTTTGGCAGGGAGTTAGACTTGTGGTCCCTTCTGAGCCTATGATTCTCAAGAGGCGTATGTATTTACTGTCACAATCCATCTCTCAAAGAAAATGTTGCTACCCTTATCCTTCCACACTTGGCTGCTATACGTGAACATAATGGGCCTGATTCTCTTATACATTAAAGCTACTTTACATTGTCAATGCAATGTAAAATAGTCTTCAACTGGAAGTCAAATATACTTACACACTTTAAGGCTCTTCGCACAACTAGAGCAGGTTAAAGTGGCCTTGATATGAGAATTATGCCCAGCATTCTTGGCATAAACCAGTTTCCATCTTCACCCTCTAATAATATCTAAATATTAGCTGATTGTATCTAAATAATAGCTGATTGTATTTACTGAATTTTCTTGAAGAAATCCTGACAATAAACACATCTAGCCAGATGGCACTCAACTGTTCCATTTTTTTTATCAAGTTTCTTGCTGCATAGAAACAGCTATTGTAGCCCAGTCCTGTTCTTGCTGATAGCATCTTGCTTTGCAATAATCTATACCTGTTAAAGTAAGACTTCTCCAGTAGAAAACTTTTTGTCAAGCACTGGTCAATAGGGTGGCAGCTGCTCCTGCCTTCTAGTGTCTTAGCCTATTTTTTTGCTTTCCGTTCCATAGTGAAAGCAACATCATGTCTCCACTGGTGAAAAAGGGAGACAGGCAGAGAACAGCAAGAGAAGTGCATTTTTTAATGTCAGATGTCTAAAGGGAACAGAGAAAGAGGATGTACAAGGATCCAAGTGGGGAATTACCTGGAGAAGAAATTGAACTGTGCCACAGGGAAGATTAAATGGATTGTATCAGGAATGCAGTAGGAAGTCTGGCGAGTTGGCCTCTTGAGTGGAACTGGTTCCACCAACAGGTAGTGTCGGCACTGCTAGCAGCATAGCTCACATGGAAGCAAAGACTACATGACAGGTGAGTTTGAGAGAGATAGGAGGTCTGCTATGCTACCCTGATTTGGTGTTTAGCCATCTCAGGGAAAGGGACAGCCATGTAAGTCATAAGAAAGGTTAGGGAATGGTGCTCATTTCATAACTTAAATGTCATCTCTTTTTCTACTTTTTTCTCTCCCCCTTAGCACTGTCTTTCTTCAAATGCTACTTTCCAGAAACTGCACTGGAAACAAAAATAAAAATATTAGTTTCTTAAAGACTTATCTGTAGCTTTAGTCTACAAAAGTGTAGTTTGTGCAGCAAATGCATGCTATTTACTGCCTTTTTTAGACCAGTTAAGAACTGGTAATTGAGTGAAAACCATAGCTGCTTTGTATTTTCAATACCTTTTTGCTACATATTAGAAAGCAATTTTAAATGTAATATTTGATTTATCAGAGTAAAATCATGGCTTTTCTTTAGTTTTTTACAAAAAATAAATTAAAAAGGAAATAATAGTTGATCAGATATTAAACATGTTTTTGGTTTTCCTTTTAATTAATCCAGAGAGAACTAACAGTAGGAACACTTTGAGCTCTGACAATAATATTATCATTAACACAATAGTACTACAAAGAAATTGTACACTTAGAAACTTTTAAGTGGCTTTTCAGAAACATACAAATTGCAATACATTTTGAAGTTTGAGTGTCTGCGTGGAACTTAATTTACATCAAACATATATATGATATTCAAATATTGTTGCAATTAAAACTTCCTTAACTGTGGTTTCAATTTTATGGGAATCCTAGTACCAACCACTTTTTCCAAAAAACATAAAATTTGAGCTGCCCAGCAGTTTTTCACCCAGCTTACTGTGAAAATCTCTTACATGGGCCATGATTCATCAGGCTGAGATTGGTAAAGTATAAGAACTTAGATCATTTTTCTGATTGGACAAAAGTTGCAGTTGTCTTTGTGTGCTGGTCCACAGTATAGGTGCTGAGATAACATTTTCATGTTATGTAGCACTGCAGGATTTTAAACGCAGAAGTATAAGACCAGAGAATTTTAGCTGGATTTTAATTTTTGATATGGCCACTTTATACTACTCTGGTAAAGGGACTGAAAGTAAGGGTACATCTACACTGCACAGCTATTTTGAAATAAGCTATTCTGAAATAGTTATTTTGAAAGAGCAGTTCTCTACTGCAGGGAAGCCTCAAAATTAGTCCGAGGTCTAATGTGGACGAACTATCTTGATTTAGAGCCCCAGAAGGCACTGGGGAGGAATAACTTAGAATGGCCCTGGGGAAGGTCTGTTTCGAAATAGCAGCAGTGGAGCGTCTACACACGCCTTATTTCAAAATAGCTATTTTGGAATAGGCGTTATTCCTCATAGAATGAGGATTACAGATTTCCGAATAAGCTGGCCGTTATTTCGAAATTATTTCAGAATAGCGGAATGACTGTGTAGCAGCTCGCATTATTATTTTGAAATAATGCTAGTTATCTCGAAATAACGGTGCAGTGTAGACACACTGTAAGAGTAAATAATATCTATACTCTCTTTAAGTCTCATAGTACATGTGATATACAGAATAAAAGCTCCAACAAGTTAAAAAGTAAATGGAATTTCTTTGCTTCTTCATTCTGGTATGTACTGTAATATTTCATCTCATGATGAAGTATTGCCTAATTGATACTGGCTGTTAATATGAATGTTTATGAAATTTGATGTTGCCTTTTGAAAGTTGCCATGGTTCTTTATTGAGAATTACACTTTTTCCATGGCAAAGAATGTAGTATTAACTAGCAAATTATTTAGGGAAATCAGTAGGGTTTTAGAAAAGATCTAAAAAGTGTCTTTGGGAAGATTATATAATCAGTTTTTACTTGTGTCTTTAATATACTAATGTTCAAAAGACTTCCATAAAATATACAGTGAAATACTGGTGGGAGAAATAATGTAGAAATATTCACTTTTTAAATAAAAATAGATCAATAAATGTTTAGATACTTCTATGGCAACAAAAAGTAATTCTGAAATTAACATTTGAGACAAATGAAATATGTACAGCATTAATAAATTCCCCCCCTTGGAGCTGTATCCATAATTATTGATAAATCACTGAGGGTGGAATCTCCAGTCATTCTGCAGAGACAACGGAGGCTTGACCAACTGAACACTGACAATATAGCCCAATGAAGTCTGGGATGTAAACCACTAATGGCCTCATTATCCCTTAGGCCAAAGTACAACACCTCTGTACTAAACACACAGTAATAACAGGGGGAAAAAATTAAAACCCAGTCTCTCTCAGTTAAGAATCAAACAATACTTTCTAGAGTGCCATTCAGAAAAAAAGTATATTCAGATGACACTATTAAAACATCGGGCCTGTGCTTTTTCAATTTAGAGAGAAATGCCAAAATAGAGTTCTATATACAAATTTAATTCCGTAGCTAGAAAGTATAAAGTTTATCTCCCTGTTTGAATTCAAAATACCTGAAATCATATTTACAAATACTCAGGCTATTTATTAACATTCAACGACATTTATATTCAGTTTTTATGTGAACTTAGTCTTCATCCAATGTGTACTGACCCAGATCTCCTCTTGAAAGTTATTCAGTCCCCACTTGTATACAGCGTAAGTATCTTTTTTCTTAGCTGTACTAAAAACATATGCAACTTCCAGAAAGCACTGATACTGCAGGGATATAAGACTATTGAAGCTAATCTTATGTATATCAAAAGTTTCCCTTTTCTTTACATAGTTTCTTTTCCTTTGATTTGTAATGATGTAAATCTGGAGAAATCCCAGTTAAAGTAAATTAGCATTCCAGACTGGTCACTGATTTACAGATGTCCTAACTGTAAAGAACATTTTTTTATTCACAAATACTTCATACAGTATTAAGAGATGGAAGGAGAGTGGGCTTCTTTGATACAGATTTTTAGTGCAGAGCACTGAAAGAAAAATGTAGTAAATTAAAAAAAAAAAACTTCATACAGTCTGTGAGAAACTCAATCTCATATTTCTACTTTTTCCAGAATTCTGGTTAGACAGGCTTGTAGTTTCAGTTTGTTTTCAAAATATTTGCTCGGTAGACAGACTTCTTCTTTTTCTGCAGAAGAAACAATTTAATCTTTGCCACTAGGGTCCTCATCTTGGGCAGCTGTTTTCAGAATGTTTAATTAGTTGCCTATTTTCACTTGGGGCATCTTATACAGGCTGTCTTGTTTTGGTGCTCATCTTTATTTATGTGGAGCATTTACTGGTGGGCTGTTAAGAGTTTTCAGGTTACATAGTGTTGTTCTTGGTTTTCACCCATTTTTTTGAGCTATCTAGACCATATACATCAGACATTGGAAACAAGGAGGAGCATCTAGTCGAGCTGCCTCTATAAGAGCCACAACTATGTAGGAGGAAAAGAGGAAATAGGAGCCAACTATGAGAACTAGGACCACAAGCTAGACTGGAATTTTAGCCACCAACAGGAAGGAAATGTCCATGATTATGAGAGAAGGAGAACAAGAAAATTTGGTGGCAGGGCACTATATAAAAGGGAGAGGAGGAACAGGCAAAAGAAAACATAACAGGAAAGATGAGTTTAAAAAGTTGAAGTCAATGTCCTGATTACATTGTTTCATGGAGGACAAAACACACTGCAGTAGAGATACCTAAAACAAATAAAGGCTTTCCTACTTCCCATGTAAGCAACTGTTATAATTGCCACAGGACAGTTATGAGAAGGAAGGCAACAGTATGTAAATACCACAGGACTGTTATCTGGTCCTCTAACCAATCTATTAATATAATATCAACTACGTGGTTAAAAAAGTCTGCAGATGCCTTGAGTAGTATTTCAGCAACCAGAAGATATCCACTCCTATGTTCTCTTAATTTATATGCAAAGTCCTTTAGTAGGGCTCTTATTTGGAGGTGGAAAGACCCAAAACCAGAAGGAAACAGTCTTTCTAGATTTATCACTGTCTTCAAAGTCTCATTGTTGTAAGTCTAATAAAACAACCCATGTTCTAGTAATAATATAATTGCTGACAATTGTTAGTGTGGCTAACTAGTTAACCTCTTGCGAGATACACTAAGCAATAGAAGGTTGTGGTATGCTGGTCCTTTGGTCGCAAACAGTATATTTGTAGTCAACATTTTCAGTTGGCTGTATTATTGAACACAAATAATCTGTTATTAAATTCATGTTGTTGTGGTGGTTGGTTGTTTTTAATATAGTGTGATTAAGATGTCTGCTCTATGAGGTACTGACTGACCTCCTTAGTTCACTTGAGTTATGTGGGAGCAGAAGGCTCTTAGCACTTTGCAGGATAGGACCTCCTAACAGAGGAAATGTTAATCTTTTGGATTAATCATTTGTTAAAATGTAGAGAGCCTGATTTTGATTTCATCGTGGTTTTACACTTTTGTTAACTTTGACTTCAGTGGGATTCCTCCTGATTTACACTAGCGTAAGTGAGAGTTCTTCTAAAATTCTAAGTTGTAAATATGTTTCACCACTATCCAAGGATTTAGGGGATGTGTGTAGAATGCCTTAAATGGCAACAGGAGGAAGAATGTTCAACATGTAACTGATGTAACCCCCCCAGTTCCTTCCCCCCCTTTTATTTTTTAATGGTTATAAATTCCATGCATCTAAACTGGCAGGCTTCCGCTCCATGTGCAGAAGGCAGGTATTTTGCAACCAGCACAAAACTGCTGCAAACCACAGCCTTCCTATAGGAGGCCACTGGGTCAGGTAGGAAGGTGTCCCCCCACTACAACATTTGTTGTTGTTTTTTTGTTTTTTGTTTTAGTGGCAGTAGGAGTCCCGTCTCCTTTATTGGGTGTGAAAGTTAAGAGTACCACATAATTAGCAAAAATATGTTATAATAGGTGTGTATGCATGTGGGGAAACCATTTGCTTGACCTCTTGCAGCTTTACTGCAGTCTGCAGCTGAGATTTGAGGGTGGGTCAGTGGGTGAGTTTGATCCACCAGCATAATTCAGGGTTAGGCTTCATGTATAGTAGGAGCCTAGATGTCTGGGTAAAGCTGCAAACAACTTGCTGTTAAGCTGTTAAGGATATACAGGCAGTCCCCGGGTTACATGGATCCGACTTACATCGGATCCCTACTTACAAACGGGGTGAGGCAACCTAGCTGCTTCCCCCCAGCAGACCAGGGAGACGCGAAGCTAGCGCCCCTTCCCAGCAGACCAGGGAGACGCAGAGCGGCTTTTCTCAGCAGACACCTCATCTTGAGAATAAAGGACTGAGGGAAGTGAGGTGTGGGAGAATAAAGCTGAGCTCTGGAAAAATGTTTGGCTAGAGTTTCCCCTACAATATGTACCAGTTCCGACTTACATACAAATTCAACTTAAGAACAAACCTACAGTCCCTATCTTGTACGTAACCCGGCGGACTGCCTGTATTGAAAACTTTTATTGTGATGTTTTGGTTGCCTAATATTCTAGGATGAAGTATCCCTTTACATTTTATTGTGAACAGCAAGGTCAGATGCAACATGAAACAGAAAAATATCTTCCTTGGTATTTTCTAACGTGTATGTGGAATTATTAGGAATTGACTGTTTTTTAAAAAATTGTAATTAAAGGGACGTTATCGAGGTTAGACTAAAATATTGATTAAAAAAAATCTGGGCCCAAACCTATGCAGTGTTGAGCATTTACAGTTCCACTGATTTTAAAGGAAACCTCTCACAGTATAAGGATGTTTGTCTGTAAAGTTCATGTACTTTGCAATTATTCTCTAAAATGCGTGTTGTAATGCAGTTTCTTTCACTTAAAGAAAAAATCAGCATGTTCACAGGCAAGCCATATATTTCTCCCCTTCCTATTCATGTGGAGAAATAATAGGATCTTGTTGCAGCAACTTGTTGATACTTTCCCATTGTTAAATTTAAATTTAGTTGTATTTTCCTGTTTCAAAATTGATTTGTATCTAAAAATGCTTACAATGTTGTAGAAATTAAACCCCTGTAGATATGTTCTAGCAAAACTTTATTTCAACTACCTCCAGAAATAACATAGAAATACATTACAACATACCCAAAGCAACTGAATGGCAAAAATAAGACACTAGCTACAGGCAGCTGAAACAGCTGAAGCTGCTAGGGGGCTCTGTAGAATTAAAAAGCAGTCTTTAATGCACTACTCTGTGGCTCTCTTATTCACAGATCTCTATGGCTCTTCTGACCTCTAGGGGTTCTCTTCCTGTTGAAGTGCTTCTTTTCCTGTAGCAGGTATTTGCAGCAGGCTGGCTCTTTGTTACCCTCTGCACTCTTCACTGTCTAGGTCTTTTCAAGGTATGAATCAATTGGTCTCTTTGTTATTCTGCAAAAGGAGCCCTAGAAATGGCCCACTGATTAATTTTAACTGTTTGTGTTGTATAGATTTCAAATCTAGGAGGGTCAATGTGATTGGCTGAGTGCCTAGCAACCTTCCAGTGATGTCATGCACCAAGGGTCAGGGAGCGCTTCCTGACCTCTTTACACCTGGGTTCAGGAATATTAATTGAACTTTGAATGGCTTTTTAAAAAATCAGTTTTTTATAAAAGTTTTCTGCTTTCCAAAGTGATGATATAAGCTGTGGTGTGTGTGCACAAGGGAAACTGTATAGGAAGAAGGAAACTGTAGAACCTCAGATTTTAAAATATATATAACAGTTGACCTAGCATCTGTGTTGACAATCACCTCTAAAACCTATGTAATGAAAAACTGTGAAGGGAGAAAATATTTCAAGCTTCCAAGTGGTTGTTTCAAAAGGGAAGGAACTTAATGGTTTATTTAAAAAAAAAAGTTATAGCTACCTGTTTTGCATAAAAATAAATTTGTCATCCTCAAGGCAGCCTCACTCTTTACGTTACACACAAGTAATCTAGTAATTTAATGTTTGGTTTATGGATGGTTTTACGCGGTTGCAATTTTGAATGCCATTGTAATGATGAACAAGTTTTTAATTATTGCAAATTAAAGTGTGCAGTACTAAACTACTGTTAATGCCCTTCTGTCACCTGTGCTAGGCACAACAGGGACTAGAGTTGAACATTCTAGTCTAATCATTCTAATGTACCTTGCAACTTGAATAAAATGCTTTTTACACAGCAGTGTGATTGTTTAGGTTCTTATGCATAAAAGGAAGAATTAAACTAAAGCACAACATATCAGATTTACTTAAATTAATCTGGCAATTCTGCTAAATAATTCAGTGCCCAGTTTATCAAAAGCCTTGTTTTCTCTGGACAAGCTAACACCTAATCAAGCTTTTTGTGTGAACATTTGAAGAGCTTTTTTCTCTTTGCACATTGGGTATGCAGAATACAAGATAATTTAATCTTCAAACTGGAGAAATATCTAAAGCCCATATTCTTCTAAAACATCTCTATTATGAAAGCTAGCAGCATTTAACTTTTGCTAGTTTCAGAATTAAGCTGCCATACGCATATTTTAAGTAATCCCAATCACACTAAGTGCACTTTATAGAAATGGTGTGACATGAATACATAGTAAAAAAAAAGAAAAAAGTCCTGACTCAGGAAAAAACCCTTTGACTAGCAAAGTGGTGGAGCACTCCTACATTTTGTCTTAATTCAGTAAGATCACTTTTGTGAGTACACTTGGAACTTCAGGCACAGAATATTGGAGCTTGGTGTGCTCCATCCTCTGATAGTCTCTCATCACTGGCCCAGAACATGGTCTGTAATCTGAAAGCAGCTGCTCTTAAATCTTTCTAGGTATAATGAATGTGCATCATAAAGAAGTGTGGGTGATAAATACAGTACATGGGGGCTCTGTCCTGCACCTTTTGGGATACTTCAAGTAATATTCAGAGTGTCCCCAATTCCCTCTGACTTAAATAGGGGTTGAAGAATTTTAGCAAGATCAGACCTGTAGGCAGTAGCATCTGTTTTCCGAAATAATGCTTGCTATTTTTGTAGCAACTTGCATTTTAAATAGCTTTACTGCTAGTAAGTGATCCTCACAAAAACTTTGTAAAATACTGGCACCTTCATGCTAGATTGGGAAACTGAGGTACAATGTTTAAATTAACTTTCTCGGGGTAATGCAGTGAGTCAGCAGCTGAGCCACGATTAGAATTCCTGGACTCCAGTTCCCTATTTTGATCACTAAAACACATTGCCGTCGATGTCAGGAGAACCAACTTAGGGCAAAGTGAAGCCAGTGGTGTTAAGAATGTAAAATGGTATGGACAAACACAATTTTCTCATGTTGACTAGAGCTGTATATCTTGCAGTAGAGCTGCCATGAAGTATTGTTGCAGGAGAGAAGCTCAGAACATTACCTTAAATGCAACACAGCATTTTTTTCAGTATATATACTATGTAAAGGGAACAGACTACATGCAGAAGCACCCAATACAGCCAGTGGTAATTAGTGTGAGAATATTGTGATCCACTGGTATGTAATGTGTCAGATCTGCTGTTGTCTGTTAAAACCTATATTAGGACCTATAAGTCAGGACTATGGATTGATGTACTAATGTGAGTAGCAAGAACACTACTTTTTGCAGCCAACTTCCTTAAAATTCTGCTTTGGGGCAGTGTAGGTCAGGCAGCTTTTTTACAGGGAAAACTTTCCTCTCTCCTCCTCCTGTTTTTGATTGCAGTTGTTGAGTCTACTTACAGTGTCACATCAGAACATCTTTATTATTGTAATATGGTAATTTATAAAAATCCTGCTATTTTAATTTCACTGTGTTAGCGCAACAGCACTTTGTTTTTGGATATTGACTTTTTCTGTTTCCTATGAGTTGGTCATGCCCTCATCGTCCCTGTTTGTAGTAATTGTGTACTGCTTGTAATCAATAGGATACTGTGCTGTGAGCAAATTGCTCTGTACAGTTGTGTACTATTTTGTATATGAAAATAATCTCAAACCTTAAAGCCGTTTTTTTGTCCCAGTAATGCACCTTTAGGAATATACTTTTTCCCCTGAAATTTTCTAGAAATGTGGGGGTTTTTTCCTAAAGGGTTGTGCACCACTTATCAGAACTGCAACAATGATAGAGCAGACATTTGCGTAGTGAGCCCCCTTTACACTGTAACAACCAAAATATCTGCCTTTTTTGAAAAAGCAATAGCTAATCTGCAGATTTACATTTTAAGACGTGATGATGCATGGAACTCAGTACACACAACCTTCAAGGGCTTCTGTGGGAGTTGAAAGTTCTTATCATGTCACAGGATTCTGCCCTTATTGAGAATTAGGCAGTCTAGCCTCAATTTAGGAAGGTCAGAGGAGTTTGGGGGGAGGGAGGGTTTGGTTTATTTTGATCCCCTGGTCTCCCACAGATTATCCATATAAGTACTCTAGATGGCTGAAGAGGGGAAAAAGGAGAAAGCAGGTACTGTGTTATTTGCTAGATAGTTATGCATCAAAAAATGGAGGGAGTTATCTTTGTATACACATAGGAAGAGGCAGGTACCTCCTTAAGTGACAAGTTGAGCACAGTTAGTCTCTATCCCAAACTTCCAAATGCAACAGTATGATGGTAAAGAAGAGCAGGCACAGTAGGTCAGACAGAACAGTGGTCTTCAAACTATGGATCATGGTTTTCAAACTATGGATCATGGTTTTCAAACTATGGATCATTACCCAGTACTGGGTCGTGGAATGTCAGGCACTGGGTCCCTTTGCTGCAGGGGACCAGGTGACCAGCGGTGGGTGCTAAGGCAGGCTACTTGCCTGTCTTAGCACTTCAGAGTGTGCAGCGCCCCAGAAGTGGCTGGCAGTAGGCCCAACTCCTAAATTTGTATTGAGGGGAGAGTGCACAGGGCTCCGAGCACTGCCCCTGTCTGAGCACTAGCTTCACACTCCCATTGGCTGGGATCCTACTGCTGCTGCTTCTGTGGCACAGCATAGTCTGCGGTGCCAGGAGAAACTTGAAGCCTACCTTAACACCCCTGTTGCACTGCTGACTGGGAACCACTCAAGGTAAGCCCATCCTTCCCCAGCCCTGGCATCCCCAAAGCCGGAGCCCCCTCCTATACTCCAAAGCTCTCATCCTCAGCCCTACTCCAAAGCCTGCATTCTAGTCAAATTATATTGGGTTGCAGGCATCAAAAATTTTCTTCAACTGGGTCAAGAGAAAAAAAGGTTGAAAACCACTGAGATAGAGTACAAGATGTTGGATAGGTCCTCCAACATGCAGGGGCTAAGCCATTAAGGATTCCTTGGAAGTTCAGTGAACATTTCTGTTTATGTTTTTAGTTTAAACCATATTAGAATACATAAGTAATGGGATGGAAAAATATGTTTAATATTATTGTAAAAATCAAATTTATATAGCCACTTGGAGGTCATTCAGAGATAGATAACACTTGTTTGGAGCATGGAAAGAGATGCATCTTAGAGAGGTGACAAGACATAACATGACCAAAATATACAAGGTAATGAAGGCATAGAGGTCAGTTGGGCATTCTTATTTATCCTTTCTCCTAATACAAAAATGGTGGGGGGGCACCCAAAGAAATTGGAAAACAACAAATTTTAAGCTACTAAAAGATAATTATTTGTTACAACAAAATGTTCGGACATGTGGAATTTACTTCCAAGAGATAACAGAGACGTAGAGCTTAACAGGATTAAAAATGGATTAGAGGTGTATATATGTAGAAAGAATATTCACAGTTGCATTACTTAGGAGAAAAAGGCATGTAAACCCTTACTCTTCAGTGCATATTTAAATCACTGATGGATAAGGGAAATTTTCCCTAGCCCCAATAGACTGGTCATTCAGTTCATTTTGAGGAATCTTTGTGCCTTGCTGTAAAGAGTGCAGGCCATTATTAGAAACTAGATCTGGGACTAGATGGACTGATCGGGAATTACAGTTCTTATGTTCTGGAGCTTTGTAGAGGGCCTTACTGGCAATGAGTGGAGAAGTTCCTCTGACACATCTAGACCATATCTACACTATGGGGAAGATTGACTCTCTGGTGGTTGATCCTCTAGCATTCGTTTTAGCAGGTCTAGTATAGATCCCCAAATCAAATGCTGAGGGCACTCCCCTGCTGGTGTCCTGTACTCCTCATTCTGTCAGGAATAAGGGAAGCTGAGGGGAGTGTGTGCTCCCATCGGCCTCCCGCAGTGCAGATGCTGTGCTCGGCTTAAGATAAATCAAATCCACCTGCCCATTTTGTGGAGCTGGATGGCATATCTTAAGCCAACCTGCCTGCTCTAGTGTAGACCCAGGCTCTAGACATGGTACCTCTTTTCCCAGTTCTTGCTTTTGCATTGTCCTAAGCATTTACACTCCAGTATGTCTTTCCCAGGGCATTTACTCCTTGTTGCTCCTGTGATTGAAAGCCCTCCAAGTTTGCTAAAGATCCCAAGAAGGCAACCTGCCAAGAAAAATATTTAATTATAAGGTGGACTGTGTGATTATATTTTATATAAAATTACAGTGTTCAGTGGTTGCCAGTAGAAGGAAAACAAAGAAGAAATAAAAACACATGAATAGATTGCTAGTGTATGCCTTGAGCAATGTTCCCTCTAAACTTTTCCATCCATTTGTGGAATAAATTTTGTCATGTGTACCATGTCCTGTGCAGATGTGCACCACCAGTAGAAACATGCTTCTGTATCTGGGCACTGGGTGCTCTGCTAATCATCTGGGAGACATTTGAACCTCTGCTGGGTGCCTGCACAAGCACTCAGCTTACAGGGAACACTGGCCTTGAGTCTTATAAAAGAATAAACCCAAAATGATCTAATAAAGCCCAAGGCAAACATGCACATGACCTCTCATTCCAACATATTCAAAGAGGAAAGAAACAAGAAATCTCAAACAGGTTTTTCCTTCCAGAATAATCTGATGGTTGAAAATGTGGTAAATATTTTAAAGAGCCATTCTAAATTGTCTGAATTGCAAATATTTTTCAAACTGTTCAGAAAAAGGGCTTCTTGTATGTTGGCTCCAATGGTTATGTTGTGCAAAGTGGTGTACAAACATTTATTTTTTTACAATCCAAGTTGGATCTGTCATTTCCCTAAATGAAGCAGTTAATATATTGAGGGGCCAAAACCTACAGGGTACCAATCACAAGGTCTCCCTGCTTCTACAGAGTGCCAAGGGGTTGCACAATATTATGTGTAGGTGTCCCAAGTTGGAGAGGTCCTTTAAGGGTAAATGCCTCTTTAACAGGGATTTCTTTCTAGAAGACTTCAGTGAGGAAAAAATTACTGTGTTCTTGAGGTGCCTCCTCCACTGGAAACTACTGTACACTACTAAAGCAGCGAATGTAATTATTTTTGAGGATAAAGTAATCCTTGTTTTGTATTGACTGTTTTGGTGGTGGTGGGTTGTGCATTTTGTTATAGGATAAGTTACACCACAAAACATCACGCCTGCCATGAGTAATCATGTAATGCTTTCCTTCTTACAGTTTGAAGAGAAATCTAATGCAATTTTTGACATTACAGAGAAATGTAAGTTCTGCTTTTATTTATGTATATATTTGTGAGTAAGCTAAAGTTAAATGTATGCATGCTCTCTGTTAAACCCAACAAGGGTGTTTTTTGAAGATCTGCATTCTTTTTTTCTTGTTTGTAGGTGGTAATATTTTGGATGCAGAAATGTCTGAGGATACGGATCACAATTTAATACCTGCCCTTGAAAGCATATCCTATGAAATGCAGAATCGAACAGGATCTGAAAACTCACTGCTGGATGAAGATGATTATTTTCTGAACTCTGGGGATCTTGCAGGGATTCCAGTTGTTGGGAGTGACAATGAGGATGATCACAATTTTACTCCAAAAGAGAGTCTCCCTTCCACGATTCATGCTGAAGATAGCCTGGACAATGGAAAGAGAGTTACAGAACATGAACTGGACAGTGAAAAAGAACTGCAAATACAAAACGCAATCCAAAAGGACATCACTTCATCATGTGATCAGGGCCCTATATTTAAACCCATTAGGAAGGATTTTAGCATAGCAAGAGATAATGGTAAAGAGACTTTTTCAACAAAAGAGAAAAGCAGAGAAGGACATTTCCAAGAACGTGAAAAACGTTTGGAGAAAATTCCTAAAGAGTTGGATTCCAGATTGAAAAGCAGTTTCCTTGATAAAACAGGTAACAGTTACTTTAACCCAAAGAAATAACAGCTCAGGAGAGGGGAAAAAGAAAACTGGATACATATCACTCCAAAAGTTAGTTAGGTACCCATTAACTTGGGGAGGGTAATGCTTTCACTTTAATGCGAGGAAAGCATTTTACATTGAGCCTTGAAACATGGCAAATGAATATTTTATAAATTATGTATTCAGGCTCATCTGAAAATTCAAGGTATTGGGTGCTTGACTCCCTTGGGCTTCTTTGAATATCTCAACCTAAATGCTGTTGTTGTGGCATTAAGCAAGCTTAGTGTCACCGTAAAAAGCTTTCTAACTCTGATTATGATCATGTTCTTTGTGGTATCTTTATATTTCCATTCTTCTCTTCCATGATTTTTGTCTTTGAAGTTTGTCAATAATGCACTGATGCCCCTGTGAAATGCATGCTATTAATAGGTGTGCCCTTCAAAGAATGTGATTTTCATAGTGGCATGGTGTGGGGGGAAGTTTACTAGAGTTATACTAGTGACTCCAAGAAGTCAGCTAGAGAGCAGCTTTGAGACCCACTTTTCATCAGGACAAGGAATTTGCTTCTTGAACTCTTTCCAGACCGCATAGACAGTCTGGGGATCCTCTCCTTAGCCAAGGGAGCCTGAAAGTATCTCAGTAATCCTGCTACCCATGCACCTATTTCAGACTTCCCAGGCTCTGAAAATCTCAGTACAGTTTGGGATGCAAAGCTTGACAGTAACTAGACAAGCTGAATCGACATGTGACCATGGTGTCCAACATGCTAGCTGCTAGCCACCTGTGGCTATTTGGCCATTTAAGCGTGGCTAGTTTGCTATATACAGTAATTCCTCATTTGACACTATAGATGCGTTTCTGAAAATGTTCGTGCTAAGTGAAAATGTGTTATGCAGGGTCAATTTTCCTATTAAAAATAATGGAAAAGGTGGGGGTTGCGTTTCCGGTGGTGGTGGCAAAGTCAATTTTTTGTTGGGGCTGGGTCGTCGACGTCAACATTAGATATCTAGCAACACAAGATAACTAGCAATGCAAGTCGCCGTGGTTTGTTAAAACACAGATAAACACATGAGTGAGCGGAGGAACGCTGTGACTACGTGTATTCATCCGCTCATGTGTATTACCACTGTTTTCACCAACTTATACTGCTGCGCGAAGTATTCTGCCACTTGATTATTTTCGTGTTATTTCGGGGACGGTCATGTTATTCGAAAAACGTTCCCTAGGAAAAAAATTGTGCTATTGCTAAAACGTGTTAAGTGGGCACATGTTAAACAAGTAATTACTGTATACTGTTTCAGAACTGGTTGGACACCATGGGCATATGATCTAGTTATGTCCAGAAATCTCTGGGGATGGGAAGAAGAGACTAGGCTTTAGGACTGGCCCTAGAATAAGAGATTTCTGATTGCTGGCTTTTAGTTTCTGCACAGGTTGCAACTCACATATTTACTGCTGCACATCCCAGTCCTGCATTTTCAAATGCTTGTAACTCTATTAGTATTTTAAAATCAATGCCTTACAATCTCATATCTTTGAGGATAAAGATAACAGCAAAATGGCAGTTTTTAAAGTGGTGATAAAAATGAATGCAACCCTTCCTCCCCCCGACCGCCAAACTATTAGGCAGAGACCAAGCACAAAATATTTTCTGCCCCAGAGGGGCAAATTTTAGAAAATGATGGTAAGTATAAAGTTGAAACTCTCAAATTGTTTTTGCAACCTTAAATAAAGTGTCCATTAACTATGAGAACTATAATAACTATTCACAAACTTGCCAGACTTATGTAATAAGTGCAGTGTCTCTTTTTAAGAAGAGGATGCATTGAATAAATCTCCTATCCATGTGTTAGCTGGTAGTATTATGTAATGGGAAAAGAGCAGAAAAGCAAAAAACAGATTAATTTTCTTTGCTTCCTTGTTTTGAAAATTAAATATAAACGTAAATGCAGAAATATGGCTGGATTCTCAACATTAATTCAGATGAAGATTATCCACAGGGAGGAGTATCTGCTTCAGAATTGTTAGAAACATTTCACTGATGTGGGGAAATTTAATTATCTAATGGAATAAGAAAAATCTTAATTCTGTTTGAGCATTGTATGTGTATGTCTACACAGCAGGACTAAAATCGAATTAAGCTACGCAACTTCAGCTACTTCAATTGCGTAGCTGAAGTCGAAATAGCTTAATTCGGCTTTTGGCACTGTCTACACAGCAGAAAGTTGAAGGAAGAACACTCTTACTCCTCATGAAATGAGGGTTACCATGAGTCAGAGTAAGAAATCCTCCAGTTCAACATTATTTCAAAATAAAGGCTTGTAGTGTAGACACACACTGTTATTTTGGAATACACCTTATTCTGAAATAACATGGCTGTGTAGACGTACCCTATTTGGCTTGCTGTGGGGAGGAAGAAAAGAAGTTTGATTATAATACATTGTAGATATTCAGATACTTTGATGATGGACATTGTTATAAGACCCTAGACAGATTTGAAGCGATTTTCTCTAAGAACTGTATTCACTTGTATTTAATATATTTTCCCCAGTTACTAACCAAGTAGAAGAAACATTACGGACACAGTTAGCACCACAGATTCCAGAAACTAACTTCAGGGTAAGCTATGGATTTTTGTTTTTGCTATACTTTAAAAAAAAAAAAAAAAAAAGGGTGTTTGGCTTGGGTATTTTAACTGTCTCACGTTAAAAACAGTTGTCTGAAAATTAATTATTAAAAATAGCTGTAGTTTGTCTCTGTATACATTTTTACTATGTTGAAAAATACAGATTATTTTAATTTTGCCTACTCTCTTTAGATGGGGATAGCCCTGGATAGTAAAGTTGCTGGATACAACATTTAGAGACCAGCTACTAAACAAGTGGTTGCTTTTGGGGGAGCTCTTTGAGACAAATAGGAAAGAGACAAATAGGAAACAGCCCTCTAAAACTGGATATTGTATAATTCTTTTTCATCTCATTGTGCTTCAGGAGTCTAGCTACCTTTTTGCTAGTAAGGAATCCATTGGTCAGGAGCTGGGGAATTCCTTTGCACCAAATATTAGGATTAAGGAAGAGCCATTGGATGACGAATATGATAAAGCTCTGGCACCGCAACAGGGACTGTTAGACAAAATTAAAGATGAGCCCGATAACTCTGAGGTAAGTCTGCCTTTACTTTTTATAGTAATAGAGATGTAGCTGTGTCAGTCTGGTCTTGCTGAAACAAAAGACAGAACTATGCAGCACTTTAAAGACTAACAAGATGGTTTATTAAGTGATGAGCTTTCGTGGGTCAGACCCACTTTTGGCCCACAAAAGCTCGTCACCTAATAAACCATCTTGTTAGTCTTTAAAGTGCTGCATAGTCCTGTCTTTTACTTTTTATATTCTGCTTTCCTACGTCCAGTTCCACATAGTGGGTAGGAATTAGATCTTGCACTTGGGTTGTTGGTCGAAGCTTAATCCTAATGTGATTCTCCATCTTTTACTAACTCCAATTCCAAAATCAGATGACTTTTTCTTCCTCCCACGAGTCCTTGTCCCAGAATGTTTCATACTGTTTCAGTAGGGTAAAAACCAAAATGTGGTAATACATTTATATGCAGTGCTATGTTTTTAAAAAATGATGTATTGTGTCATTTGTGGCTACAGTAGACACTTTGGTCCAGCCCATGAAGAAGGTAGCTGAAGTCGATGTTCTTAAGTTTGCTTACCGCAATGTCTTTGCAGCAGTTAAATCGGTAGCTGATGCTCTCCCTTCGACTCCACCTACTCTTCTCATTTTGGTGGAGTCCTGGAGTTGACAGGAGAGTGTTTGGCAGTTGGATTTGTTATATCTATACTAGACACAATACATTGAACCCCATTGGATTGGTCACTGCCCATGGATCCAGTCCCTAATGAAGATGTGTGCTGAGTCAGCTGCTCCAGGCCAGCTGTAATTGTGTTATGGGTCTTTTATCCCTTTGCAGACATATCTGTAGAGATCTTGATTTGCAAAAGCCATTAACCACATGCTTAACTCCCATTGACTTCAGTTATAGGAACACTTTAAGTGTGTGCTTCAGCTCTTTCTTGGATTCTTGAACTTTATATAGACATATTGTGACCTTCTAGAAAAAAGTGTAATGATTCTAACATTGAGAACCGTTGGTCTAATGCAGGGCTGTCCAATTGACAGCTGCCAGGCCATACACAGCCCACCAGGGCATTTCAGAAGGCCCGTGGTCTGCTTCAGTACAATTTACTAACAGCCCATTAATTAGCATTTTGTTGTCATGTTTACATTAGTTTGCAGCAATGTGTAAATAGTTTGTCTCTTTATACAGCACTGCCTGTTTACATATATACAGAACAAACTGAACATAAAATATAAACCAATATAGGTGACTTATATGTAGTATCTGTAAGGGATGTAAAAATACTCCTGGGAACCTCTCTGTGCTGTGGCTCTGCAGTATAGGGGCAACAGCTGCCTCCGCAGGAGCAGGGCCAGCAGCCGGAGCCAGTATGCAACTAGAGCCAGCTTACACACACCAGCTGCCGGCCCCGCTTCCGGGGAGCTAGCTGCCACCCCATGCTGCAAGCTCAGATACAGATAAGCTGGCTCCTGGTGTACACTGATTGCTGGCCCTGCTTTTGGGGAGCTGGCTGCACTGTGGGCTCTGCAGTATAAGCTTTATATTGTAAAACCCACAGTGCAGGCAACAACCGGCTCTCCAGGAGTAGGGCTGGGAGCCGGTATGTAACCGTGACAGAAACTGATAAACTGATGCTTATCAGTTAAGCATTTAAATGGTTACACTCTAACATCTCTAGAATCTGTTTGCCCAGAACAAGGTTGTGCTTAGGCCCTCCTGTATAATGAATTAGACACTGTAGGCCTAATGCATTGAGTGTGTTGATAGAGGAGCTAGGGAGGATCTTAAAAGCTCCAATATATCTTTGCCACTTTATTGTTTTGTGGCCTTAAGGAACTCATTTGATGTGACAGTGGCTCAGCCTTCCTCATCCTCATAGGGCAGTAGTCTCCAACCTTTTTACACCCAAGATCACTTTTAAAATGTCAGAATAAGCCAAGATCTACTGCCCCATTCTTTCCCTCAAGATCCCACCCCTTCCTTGAAGGCCTGCCCTCTCTGTTCTCCTCTTCTCCATCACTTGCTATCTCCAGCCCTTACACACTTCAGGATACGTCTACACTGCCGCTTTTTTTTCGATTCGTCTGTAGGAAGAGGTTTTTCCAACATTTGGCCTGTCTAGACTGGGCCACATGTCAGAACAACCCCTTCTTTCGGAAGCCTCCTTATTCGTTGTGGAACAAGGAATATAGGAGTTACCGAAAGAGCATGTTTGCCCTTCCACTAAAAAAAACAGAAGAACAAACGCTTCCTTGGGCATGGAAGAGTTTTTCCGGGATACCTCTGGAATCCCGGAAAAACTCCTGCAGTCTAGCTGTACCCTCACTGGGTTTGAGACAGCATGTGTGGGCTCTGAGGTGGGAATGAGGGATTTGGGTATGGGAAGGGGTGAGAGGTGCAAGCTCTGGGAAGGAATTAGGATGCAGGAGGAGGTGGAGAAAGGGATGCTGGCTGGGGGAGGGGGCTCTAGGCTGGGGAGTGTTGGGGTCAGGTGGAGGGTGGAGGGTTGGGGTACTGAGCAAGACACAGGCTTGTGGATTTGAGGGTGCAGGAGTTTGGGTTGGATTGTGTAAGGGGCTCAGGGCAGGGAGGTTGGGAGTATAATGGGTTCAGGACACAGATTTGTGGTGTGTGGATGGTGCAGAAGTGTTGCGGCAGAAGACTGAGGATGTGGGGGTACAGGAGTTTGGGGATGAGAGGCTCAGAACAGGAGGTGCCATTGTAGGAGAAAGGGATGCTGGCTGGGGGAGGGGGCTCTAGGCTGGGGAGTGTTGGGGTCAGGTGGAGGGTGGAGGGTTGGGGTACTGAGCAAGATGGGAACAGGGGACAGTGTGCCAGTGGGTGCTGGGGCAGAGGCGTGGGGCAGAGGACAGTGTGCTTGTGGGTGCAGGGCAGAGGCCTGGGGCAGAGGAAAGGGTGCTGGTGGGTGCCAGGGCAGGGGATTAGGACAGAGGACAGGGTGCCAGTGGGTGCTGGAGCAGTGGACAGGGTGCCAGTGGGTTCTGGGCAGGGGACAGGGAATCCCCAGCACACACCTCCTCTGGGGACTCCTCCCTAATCCGAATCTCCCCAGAGGAGGGAATTCCGTTCGCACACCTCTTCTCGGGACTTCTAACCCCCCGCCCACGCAGAGGAGGGAAGCCCCAGCATGCGCCTCCTCTGGGGATACTCTTCCCCCCCACCCTGGGTGCAGCAAGTTCCCGGCACACCGCAAACCTGAGTTGTGGTACCACGCCGGTTGTTTGGGATGGGGGAACAGCCTGCATACTTCCTGAAACCCCGGAAGTGATGCGCAACTGCCGGACTTCCTTCCACCCCACAGGAAGCCGACATTACTTCCATTATCTCTGGAGGTAGGTAGTGGGGCTTCTTGGGGGGTGGGGAGAAATGGGGGGCTCCAAATGCCTCCCGATCGACCAGTCAATTGCGATCAACGGGTTGGTGATCATGGTCATAGGGTATTATGATGATTAGTTAGTGTCTGTCTGTCTGTCTGTCTGTCTCTCTCTCTCTCTCTCTCTCTCTCTCTCTCTCTTTCTTCTCTGCTCCTTTTAGTCTTTTTGTTTCTTTTTCTTTTAAAATCTTCAGAAAGTTGTATCCTGGTGTCTTCTATGACCAAGTGATCAAAGATATTATTCGTAGATAAATGTAAAGAAATTTTCTGTGTACTGGTTAAAACTGGAAATATAATTTGTAACAACTATTTATTGAAATTTCACCTCACTTTGTGCAAAGTTCATGAACATTTTGTGTATGTATGTATGAGTTCTACAACTTGCTAGTTGGTATCTCTATCAGTGTTTGGTTGGAGAAGTTAACTTTTTTTTGTTTTATTCTCTACAATTAAATATTCATTCCTGTATGTAATAATTTGCAGATTCTTATTTCAGGCTGCATGGGTTTGTCTATGACAGTAGAACTTAATGCAGGATATCTTATACTTATCAAAGGTCATATCAGTAAATGTCAGTGAAGACTTGGAAACAGATCAGTGAAGTTTAAATTCCTAGATACACAAATCCCCTGAGTAAAATAACACTATAGTAAGCAACTTTCAGGAAAAATATTGAAGGCAAGTGAGGGATTTCTTAATTTGTCTTTGTTAAATTGGGAATGTGATTAGAGAAAAATCTGATATACATAACACCCTTTGCAGCTAGCGATAAAGGCTGATGCTTACTAGTTTTTAGCTAAATTGTGTTGCTTTGAAATTTTGCTCTCCTAGGACTTAATCCTGCATAATGGACATCAGGGTGGGATCCTATTCCCATTACCAACAGTGCCTGCAGCTAACACTATAATTAAAATTGTTAAAATGGCTGGTTTTAGACCTGATATATAAACCTTAAAAGTTGTAGTGGTTTTCAATTGTTTTAAAGTGTTATAGTTAAAAAATTAGAATTTAATACTTTAAAAATGCTCTGTTCTGCTCCCCGCAAATAAAACTTCACTTTTAAAAGAGGACAAACTTTAAATGTTGCAGTTCATCAGCTCTGAAAGTGGACTAGTACCCCTGGGTATTGTGGGAAATTGAAAGAGATGTAGCTTAGTTATATTACTAAAAATGTTTGAAATTTTCCTCCATTACCAATGGAAATATTATAAAACTTGATATTATATACAGTATGTGGATTTTTGTGTCCCCATATGCCTGTAAATAGGATAAATCTTTGTCTGCCTTATAGATTCCATTATAGAACATTTAAGGTATTGTGTGTTTTGAAAATTGTGGAAGCTTTTTTTATATAGTTTCATTCAACTATTTTTTTAAAACTTCAGAATCCACATATAGAATGTGCCTTGCTTCTGGGTGGTGGCTGCTGTTTCGTTTAAATGTCTGGAGATGGCACAAAGCAGAGCCTGGTCTGAATGGAAGAACAGGGACACCGTATTCTAATTCTGACACATACTTCCTTTATGGCCGTAGGGAAGTCACTTAATATTTGTTTTCTCATACGTAAACTGAGGATTATACTTGTCTCTATTTTAGAACACAAGGGGAAGAATACTTAGTTGTAATGTTCTTTGTAGATGAAAAGCTTTCTAATAGCTGCTTATTATTTGGGGAAGAAGCATGCATTAGTTTGAAGGTTTGGCCATCAAAGTGTCTTGAAAATATAATGGTGGAAGAGAACATATGATTCTTCCTAGGAAATCTCCACACATCACTACACAATTTGCATACACTAATGCGAGTTTTGCAAACACAGTAGGTACAAACATGTTTTTTGTATGCAACAATGTCTGGTATGTTTCTGGCCCTTGGTTATTGACATAAGTTTATAAAGAGTCCTCATTTTTGTTTTGTTTTTTGGACCTTGTATTCAATAGCACATTATTAAGGAATTGATGTCATTTAGCTTGTTTTAAAGTCACTTTTAGTTAGATTTGTTTATTTGGTTTCCTTTTTCCTTTGTTCAGGAGTATGGCCAGCAGCCAAAAACTCAGGAAGGGGAACTGAAGATCAGTGCTGTATTTTCAGTCAGTGGCAGTCCTCTTGGTAAGGAACAGGAAAGATCAAATTTAATTAAGTCTTCCACATGTTTCAACTTCAAGAAAATGACCCCATTGGTTAGCATGCTTTTCATTTGCTGTCTAAGTGCAGCAGCAATGAAGTCTGGTTCAGCTTATAGACACTCTGGACTCTGTTCAATTGGAGACCTACATAATGCTTGTATTTGAGAACCCAAGAGAGAATTAAATCTGACAGCGATGTAGATGTATGTATTTAATGGTAACAGTGGTGGAATTTGCTCCTGTGCAGAAGCCCACCACAAGTGGGGGGAAGGGTGTCTGTCCATCTGTCCCAGTTCCCTCAAATGTAGAGACTAGTCTTTTGCATAGGGTGAATTTCACCCAGTACATATTAGCTATTAACATATATTTCCTCTTGATTATTCTAGCTCCACAGTTGACATCAGGTTTCCAGCCTGCTGTGCCATCCTCTGGCATGAGTAAAATGTTGCCTTCAGTTCCAACCACTGCCATTCGGGTTTCCTGTTCTGGCTGTAAAAAAATCCTCCAGAAGGGACAAACAGCATACCAGAGGAAAGGCTCTACTCAGCTCTTCTGCTCCACGTTGTGCCTCACTGGATACACTGTTCCAACTTCTCGTCCACCAGCTTCGACCAAGAAGACATGCTCAAGCTGTTCAAAGTAAAGCCGCATTATAGCTTATTCTAGTAATGACTAAAATTCAGATGAATAATAAAAGGCTTTGTTTGTGACGCATAGTTAGCTTGTTAGGGATCACTGTTTGCAACCTCTCCTCTCTTCCAATACCCACTTCTACCACCAATTTTCCCTTCAGAAATACATTTAATTCGAAAGTCAATGAAGTAAATTCAAGTTTTAGTAGCTGACTGTATTTTGTGAGATTCCCTGCAAATTCTACCTCTCTAAGCTATTTCACAAACTTCGCAGTAGGGGTAGTCTCTCTATTTAAGTTTTATCCATTAAGTTTTTGACCAAAGAAGCCACCTGAGAGCATGCTGTTGGCACTTCATTATATAATATCTAACCCTTGCTGACCTGAAGAGATTAAATCATTTAGCATGATTCTGGTTTAGGGAGATATCAGGTCCTAAATCAGATGCTCACAACTCTGTCAGGTATGGAAACAGAAACCTTACCCTTTATAGTACAGGCAGTGTTGTCTTCAAGTCGTCCAAGTCGAGTCTCGAGTCCCTAAAGTCACTTTCGAGTCAAGTCCCAAATCGAGTCTCAAGTCTTAATTTAAAAAATGTCAAGTCACTTTTGTACAAGCCATCAATATTGGCATTTTCGGACAGTTTTTTCACCAAGTCGATTTAACAAAATTAACAAGTCTCAAGTCGAGTCTCAAGTCACAAACAATGAACCCGAGTCAAGTCTCAAGTCGAGTCACCTAGGTGACTTAAGTCGGACTTGAGTTCAAGTAGTGGGACTCGAGTCGACAACTCTGAGTACAGGCATAATTTGAAAAACCTGTTCTGAATAAAAAGTAGCATTGAATAAGGATTTATTGTCTGCTTCTGCAGAAGCAGCTATGGTTTATATAAATTAAATCTTTCATATCTTATCTCTAAACTAAACCAAGAGAAATTTTAGGTGTAGCTGTTCCATCTTGAATCAGTATAAAATATGTATCATAATTTGAATCAAATTAATAGCCTTTGAAAGGGATGTAAGCAGCTAGTGAAGTCAGCTACTTGCATTTTCTTCTCTCCTCCCTCCCCCCTTTTGCTGCCTCGGCTGCCACAAAGCAGCCTCTGCCCACAGCAGGCCCAGGTTTGCTGTGAGCAGAGGCTGTTCCACATCCTGCCGGGCTGTGCCCAGCTCCTACTACATTTAACTGCAGAGCTGCAGCGGGGGAAAGCTCTTGGACTCAGTGCAAGCTGGGACAGAGTCCTTCCCTTATCGACTAATGGTGTACAGATTGTATCAATTACCCACCTCTTAACATCCTTAATTTAAAAACAGAGACAGTGACATCAAACCAAACCAGGTTATCTAAGTTAATGTAAAGCAGCCACAACAGCAAAAACACAGCCAACCTTGAAAATAAGATTTTTAAACAAAGAAGTTATTCTGCAGGGTTTAGAGTCGAGGAAGGCTATTGTATTGAAATAAAGGCAATGGGAGTGAGGGACTATCATGCTCTCCTGTTGCTGCATTATTTCTGTTCCAGAGAATGTGTTTGGTTTGAACTCAAAGTTTATTCAGTGTCTTTTTTTTTTTTAATAGAGACATCCTAAATCCAAAGGATGTGATCACTGCTCAGTTTGATAATACAAACTCTAGCAAGGATTTCTGCAGTCAGTCATGTCTTTCCACGTATGAATTGAAAAGGAAACCTGTTGTTACTATTCATACTAACAGCATTTCAACCAAGTGCAGCATGTGCCAGAAGAATGCAGTGGTAACTTATATACAACTACTTTCTAGTTTGAATTTCCTGCAAATCAGAACAGTTTATCTCAGACATCCACTATTTTACTTTTCCTTTTTTTAGATTAGACATGAAGTAAATTATCAGAATGTTGTACACAAACTCTGCAGTGATGCCTGCTTCTCCAAATTCCGTTCTGCTAATAACTTGACTATGAACTGCTGTGAGAACTGTGGGGGCTACTGTTACAGTGGCTCTGGACAATGCCATGTTCTTCAAATAGAAGGACAGTCAAAGAAGTTCTGCAGTTCAACATGTGTTACTGGTTACAAACAGGTATTTTTTTTTATACTTATGAAACCTCCTGTGAGCCTTTGATTGAGAAGTTACTTTAATTGATAAGTGTGAACTTTAGAATTAGACCACTTAAGGAATAGACATGGTCGATTGATAGGAGACTTCAGGTCTTATTAACTTCCCGGAATATCTTTCTGTCCTTTGGTTTCTTAAGTTCAGCTCAAAAATGTAATTTTGTCTTCATAGCTTTTTTTCAGACTACCTTGTATGCCTAAAATGGCTTACCAGCATATGGTAACCTCCCTCATACTCCACTAGAAATAGACCTGAAGCAAAGTCTCATATCCAAACACCACTAACTATAGAGAAATTCAAGTTGACTTCCAAACTATATCTCAAGCCTCTAAAAAAGTGCTGGGTTGAATATTCAAGCTATAATGGCTAAGCCCTTTGTTATCTTTAAGTGTAGGAACCAGTTACCTGTTTGACACTTATATATGGTACTGTGTAGATTTGTAGCACTGTATAAGAGATCAGTAATAAGGCCCTGATATTTTTAAATTTAACCTCCATTTTGTGTTATCCATTCAGGTATTACGATTAAGATGTCAAGATCCCCGATTTGCAAACAAAGTCAAGTATTTGGCTGATTAAATGGTGGCATTGTATCTGCAGTTAATTGATGTGCAGATGCAAAAATATACCTTCAAAACCATGATCCTTACTGAAAATTATGGCTTAAATCTGCTTTCAGGCCTGTTCCTTAGATAAAAAAGGAACTGGGAAAAGGGAGAAAAATGCATCTTTATGCAGTAGAAATCTATATGAAAGAATAATTTCAAACTTAAGCTTTATGTTGCATATCATTGGATGAATCCATTTGTGCTGCATAAATGAGTTGTTATATGTGTCAAACATTTTCATATGACAGTGAGTTGAGAAGCTTTATTTCCTCTCTTCCCAGCCCTGCTTGATTTTCTGAACTTTAGTTTTTTTAAAAAAGTAGGTACAGTAGAGCCTGGATTATCCAACCTTCAGTAATCCGATTCCTGCACCTCCTGGGGACAAAGCGGCGCCAGCAGGAGCGGCATCAGCTTCCCCGTGCCCTGGAGCCTTCCCCGTGCCTTGGAGCTGCTGATGCCGCTCCTGCCGGCGCCACTTTGTCCCCGGGAGCTACAGGCATCAGCCGCTCCAGGAGAGCAATGGGGCAACAAGCGGGGCCATTCTCCCGGCCCGCGCCCGGGAGCTGCAAGGAGGGAAGGGGCTAGGGCCAGGCAGGGATAGGGACCAAGCAGCGCCGGCTACAGTAGAGTCCCTATCATCCAACATTTTCCGTTATCCGACTACCTGTCTGTCCCGTTTATGTTGCATAATCAGGACTCTACTGTAGTAGCCAATTGTTGCTATCCAGTGTGGATGGTCAATATTGTAGATTAGCTTACTAGACTTACCCAAATGAAGCGGTGATTTAAATAATTGCCGCATCATTTAAATTAAAATGGCTGCTGTCCACTATGCAAGTGAGAGATCTTGGACTCATTGTGGATAGTTCTCTGAAAACATCAAAGGCATTTGTCGACCGCCCCGGTAAACCTCATCCCACAAGGCATAACAGGGTGGTCGACAAATGCCTTTGATGTCAACCACAAAGCATCCAGACTAGTGTGCTGAGCCGACAAACAGCTGATCGGCTCAGCGCGGCAGCCATTTTAATTTAAATGACGTGGCAATTATTGGAATCGCTGCTTCATTTGTGTATGTCTAGTAAACTAATCTACATGGCTCTGTCACCAGAGCCATGTAGTCTAGACCAGTGGTCCCCAACCATCTGAGGCTGCCGGGCGCCAGGGGGCGTGGCCATTCGCCTGCCAGGCGCCAGAGGGCGGGGACACTTGTGTGCCCGGGGGTGGCGCTCCCCCCATAGGCCGCGGGGGCGGGGCCCCCCATGCGCCGCGTGCCCGG